GAGATCCTGAGAGCCGGACGCCAGGATCGTTTGAACATCTGTGGGCAGGCGCTCCAGGAACATCTCCTTGACAAATTTATCATCAACTTGCATGTCTCCAAGGAGACAACGCATCCGACGTAGAAGCTCTGAGGGCTTCCGGTCACCCAGTGACTCCTCCTTAATTAACTGGTGATACCTCTGTCGGTCAGACACAGAATTAAGTCGGAGGATTTCTGCCTTTAACGCGGAGTAGGGAGCATCTGCAGGAGGATTAGCTAGCAAGGACTGAACTTCAGAGATGACACTAGCGGGGAGGACCTCCACGAGTTTGTGGTATTTTGCTAGCTCCTTGGTAACGTTGGCAGAATAAAAGGCTGATTCTATGCGGATGAAGTAAAGTTCTGGAGCGTGTTGCCAGAATTCAGGCAAAGTAAAATTGATTGCATGAAGGGACTGGGCGGGGGCATCAAGTTTTTGATCGGAGTGAGACATAATATGACAGAGATGTCAAAATATCAGAATTCGTGAGGAAAGTAAATGTAAATGGAATAGATATTCACAAGCAAATAGTACGTTAAATGTTATCCAGTATGACAGAAAGCTATAAAGTCTGCGTAAACGTCGGGAGTCACCAATGTCGTAATTCATAATGTTCTCACGAACTAACGAGTTATATCTCACGAGCCCCTAGCCTTAAATGCAGCAAGTAAATCGGAGCAGTGAATAATATAGAGGTTTTTGAACGTTAAGAAAACTGACAACAGAATACCACAGCAGAGCACGCTAGCACGGCGGGTTGTACAGGTGTGTCGTTTCTCGTCACATTCAAACAAGCAATGCGGTCAAAGGAAATGGGGCTAAATTGTCAAAGGTAAATTAGTCAGGTACCTCACCACAATAGTTCGACCGTCGATTTCGACAGTGTTCACCGTGCGTCCCACAGCAGGTGGCGGAAGCAGGAACGGTGACCTGGGCGGGGTTTATAGTGCCGGCCGACTTGCGCTGCATCTACCACACTCCCTCCTCCTTCTCCGCCTGAACCCGGTGTCGAGACAGAGTCAAGAATACCGAAGACGCAGGGGGCCGTAGGTGGATGGCTTGGACGGATCCGCACCTTGGCACTCCATTCCGAACCCCTGGTTCTCTCAACAAATGGCCAGGATTTGACCAGCAACAGCAAAGAGAGTGGAGGCTGGCACGGCCGAGGCCGCACCTAGGCGTGCCGCCAAAGTCCGGCTCAGATTCCACGCAGTGGGAATGCCATAAAGGCCACATAAAGAAGGAGCCATTTCAGTCTGATTCTCAGACCTCCATCCGGTTACTCCACAACTGCAGTACACACAACACTGGGCCGCGTGCAAGGTCCAAGCTATCCTGTCAGTTGGCAACCTTCCAAACCACGGCTTTTAACGTGTCGTTGTCATCAAACCAGTCCTGGTGTTGGCGTCGTGCGTGACCGAGGACAGCCATGGCCGTCGAACGGACTGTGTCCTGCAGTTGGCACCATTGGTTCTCCACGGAGGCGTTCTCGTCAGCGGAAGCGACTGGAAGGTTGTCTAGCCGTTGAGCTGGTTCATTGTTGAAATGGTGATGGTGATTAGGCAAAGACACCAAAGCAATAATCAGCTTACGTAGGGGTCGAAGCATTGTAATTGCGGACACGGATACAACGGTCTTATCAGCAATCACATGACAGCAGTGTTGGTTATTGATATTCATAGCTCGTCAGAATGGAGAACAGGCTTTCTCTCCATTACTAATGACCTGTTGGTAAGACTGAAATATGACCATGGCCTCCTGAATGCTATGATTTGTTGTTTGTTAATTACTATTGGATGTTCAACTTTTGCTATTCTGCCCTTATATTACAGTACAGGCCTGATGATGAACAATCAAAAGCGTACGTTTGCCGGACTTGTCCACATAGTTATCATCGCTGAACTTAATTACTTGAATTGGGCAGACGTCTGCATTTGGTTAAGGACATCCCAAATGATAAAGTAGACGTATTGTATGTGGTCGGGGTAGGTTTATCCATGCAATACTCCCTACTAACTTTGTTTAAGTAGGCGTTGTTCGGTTAAGTTATTCCTTGTATGCCAGTCACGCCCCATCATTCGGACTGCACTAAGGACTTCGACGGTCTAGGGTTGTGCCTACCAGTCTAGTGCTAACGCTGAGTAGGGTAAAAGCAAGGGTTAAAGGAAGGTTAGGGTTAAGGATAAGGGTTAGTTCTGGCGCTAGGCTGATTGTTATGGTTGGGCTTGGGTCAAGGTCAGGGTTAAGGACATCATTAGTGTCATGTTAAATGCAGGAGGAAGGCTAGGATTAGAGCTAGAGTTAAATTTAGTGTCAGACTAATGCTATATTCGAGACTTGCTTTAGGTTTAGTGCTAACGATGGGACCTACGTAGGGTTAAGATAGGGGTTGGGTTCAAGATTAGGTTTAGGGCCAAGTTGAGTGTTAGGTCTCGGGAATTGATTCTTTTCTTGGAATTCAGTGCGGGACCAGCTGCCGTACTGAGGACGTTCCAATTCTCATCTCTTGCCAGTTATGCAGCCGCGGGGGAATAATAACATCGAAGTTACACAAATCGTCTCGAAAATTCGTCGAAGAGACTGATAATAAAAAGATTACTGAGAGTATCGATTATGTGAGAACTATATGAATCGCGTTCAGTCGGTTGTATCTATTTCATGCATGTGGAATGTCAGGGAATCGGTGGTCTCGCGTTACAACCGATGTGGAACTTGTGAGAAGGAACAAAACCACCTTCCTTGAAATTAAATAAGATATTCGGAGAAAATAACAAGCGCTGCAGGTCAGACAGTGTGTCTGTTGGTTGGCGAAAGAACCAAGAATTAAACTTTTGATATTTTCCCTGTGAGCAACAAAAGCACAATGTCTGAGAAAAACGCCTAGCGTAAAGGCGAACTTTATTCGTTCCTAATCCTGGTCCCGGTATTTATTGACTACTGTAAACCTGTTCTCATTCGTGAAAGGAACGCAACTTAGAAGGCCTTACAGGACCGCGTAATCTTACTTGATTTATGATTTAAGCCATTTTGGCACTATCTGATACAAGACTGCCTTATAAGGTGCGTCTCATTTAGCCCCGGGTGACGGAAGGCTACTACCTAGCTAAATCAAGAAACACTTGGCAACAAATAAAACACTCTTGTTCAGAGCATTATCCCACCAAATTACACGACAGGCTATTATTATTAGGCAACAATTAAAACACTCTTTCCTCCAGCATTGTCCCACCAAATTACCGACAAGCTACTACTACTAGGCAACAGATAAAACACTATTGCCCACAACATTATTCCAACGCATTGCACGACAAATTAATATTGTTAAGCAACGAGCAAAACACTCTTATCTCCAACATTATCCCGCCACGGGATAGTTAAGGGTACGATGAAGGCTCCGAGTATTTACGGCACACAAGAAATGCCTACTATACTTGTTTAAGTAGGCAGCGTTTTATTCATTACCCTCTAAATGTGGAGTTTGCTTTCGGACCTCGCATAACCTGCCATGACCACAGCTTATAGAGTTAAGAATCAGTCTTCTGGCTTCCTTATGCGCCACACGTAAAATCCCTGTTAACACCGTCCTCGTAAGGCAGATGCCTGTGACCAGTCGCAGACACTTGGGACCTTCAGCAGATCGTTGCCACGAAACACATTGTGAACATATGTCCTACCATTTACAAAGCAGAAGA